GTCAGGAAAATTTCCTTTCAATTCTGCCTTTGGACACCACTATAATTATATAATAATTGCCCTGACACCTAGTCACCAGATGGCAGCATTGCAATTGCCAACAGAAAACCCAGTGAAGTTAGTTGCAGATTCCATTGAGGCCGAGGTTATATTGGAGTTTAAAAACAATTCTATGTCCTTAAGAGATTGCATCTTTTTGATTATGTACTGAAAGAGAAGAGGTTTTAAGAAAGGTAGAGAGTTATTTGCAGCTTGAAGACAGCTATTTGCAGCTTGAAGACAGCTAAGAATTGAAACAGTGCTCCCTAGAAGTAACAGGTACCAAATTTCTGGAGAATTTCAGGTTCAGGACAGGCAAGTATATGGCTCTGGTCAGCTGCTGTTAACACTGACTGAAGGGAGTGAAACAGAAGCAAGACTTTGCAGCAGCACTGCAACCTCAAGGATGTTCTCTCCATTTTTGTCCAAGTTAATCAGAAACTCCATTTGGAGATATGGAATGACATCACTAAAATCTAAGAAAAAAAACTGACAACTCAAGGTGAAAAAAGCAGCCATTGAGCTACAAATTAGGAGGCAAAGAATCAAACAGGATTGTGAAACAGCCTATTAAAAAAAGGTAGGAGACCGAGGGTGGTTGTGGAGGTTTGCTTTTCAGACTAGAGGCCTGTGACCAGTGGTGTTCCACAGGGGTCGGTGCTGGGTCCATGGCTTTGTCATTTATATAAGTGACATGGATGTGAACAAAAGAGAGAGGTATGGTTAGCAAGTTTGCAGATGACACTAAAATTGGAGGCATCTTGGACACCAAAAGAGGTTACCTCAGAGTACAATGGGATCTTGATCAGCTGGGCCAATGGGCTGAGGAGTGGCAGATGGAGTTTAATTTAGATAAATGAGGTGCTGCATTTTGGGAAAGGCAAAATCAGGCCTGGGCTTATACACCTAATGGTAGGCTCCTGGGGAGTGTTGCTGAACAGAGACCTTGGAGTGCAGGCTCATAGTTACTTGAAAGTGGAGTCACAGGTAGATAGGATAGTGAAAGCAGCGTTTGGTATGCTCGCACTGACCAGTAAAGGCATGGAGTATAGGAGTTGGAAAGTCATGTTGCAGCTGTGCAGAACATTGGTTAGGTCACTTTGACTAGTGCACTCAATTCTGGTCTCCCTGCTATAGGAAAGCTGTTGTGAAATTGAGGGTGCAGAGAAGATTCACAAGGATGTTGCCAGAGTTGGCAGGCTTGAGCTGTGGGAGAGGTGGAATAGGCTGGGGCTATTTTCCCTGGAGCATCAGAGGCAGAGGGTGACCTTTTGAAGGTTTATTAAATCATGAGGGGCATGGATGAGATAAATAGACAAGATCTTTTCCCTGTGGGGAAGACAGTCCAAAACTATATAGGGTATGGGTTTAAGGCGAGAAGGGAAAGACTTAAAAGGGACCAAAGGGGCACCTTCTTCAGAGGGTGGTGCACTTGTGGAATGAGTTGCCAAAGGGAAGGGAAGGAGGCTGGCACAATTACAACATTTGAAGAGGCATCTGGATGGCTACATGAATAGGAAAGCGTTAGAGGGATGTGGGCCAAATGGGACAATTTTTTTTTGATATCTGGTCAACATGGATGGGTTGGACCAAAAGGGTCTGTTTCTGTGCTGTACATCTGACTATTCAGTTATGGTAATCAGCATATTGTCAAAGTGTCTTTTTTCTACACCAACATAAAGATTGGCCTAATTCTGCTCCATCCAGCCTGCTCTAACATTCAATCACGGCCAATGTTTCTGAACCCAGTCTCCTGCCTTCTCCCATATACTCTTGATTTTCCTTAATCAAGGAAAAATCTTAAATCCACTCAATGATTTGGTCTCCACAGCCCTCTGCAGCAATGAGTTCCACAGATTCACCAGCCTCTGGTCAGAGAAATTCCTCATCAGGATGATGTGACAACCCCCTTTCAGAACAGAGGCTGTGCCCTTGGGTCCTAGTCTCTCCCAGGAGTGGAAACATCTTCTCCACACCTATTCTATCCAGGCCTCTATTCTGCAAATATTCTCCTCATTAAAATTCCCCATTGACAAGCTTTTTATATAAAAAGGATAAAATAAAAAGATTTTACCACAAGTGTTGTAACAAAAAGGGAGTTAAAGAAGCCTTCCTTTTATCCTGGGCCAGTGCACTTGGGATTTCTGGTTGATTCACCACTTTTAAACATTTGTCAATTCTGGGAATAGTACAGCTCAATTTTTAAGCACACTAGGTAGTGATACCTTGATCCTCCATAGTCCTTCCCTCCGAAAGGAATCTGCTCACTAATATTGTGCTCCTGGAATTCCCTGTACATTTACTAATGCACCTCAACACCTAACCAGGTGGTTTTAACTGCTGGCCCCAAAAGATGGCTCTACAGCAAATGATGTTTAATAACCTTTGTTTTGCTATGTTCACTGTCCTATACTTGTAACCAGGTTGCTGTAGCAAACAAAATTAAAAACAAGCACCAAATTGCAACTTTGATTATGAAGTTTCCAACAAGAAATTCTAGCAGTTATAGGAAAATTTTCTTTAAAGCCATCATGAGATTTGTGCAAAAAATGTACACAGTACAAAGGTGAATGATAGAGATAACAGATACCTGAACTAAGGAAACCAGAACTCGTTGAAAGTAGCCAGATGTATCGGAGCAGATATCCTCTTCCAAATCAGATTCGAAGTCTAGAAAGATCAAGGAGAAGCTGATAAAACAGGGCTAATTGTGTGGAAATGTTAGAAAATGGACAGGCTCATTCTGATAAAGATTCTCATTGCACAATTTTAATAGTCACCATAGAGCACACAGACCATTCTAGCACCCAAATGCAAGAGATAACCAAAAAAGGTACCAGGTGACAAGTTCTACTACAACTAAGTAACTAGGAACTTAGTTTGAGGAGAGAGGGAGGCTAGAAAGTTAGTGGGAGTTGATCCAAGGATTGTGCCATATTTTTACAATGACAATATGCATAGTAACAGGAGATACATGGAGCATAGTTGATACAATGGTCCACCTAAAACAGACTTTATCAAGTTTAGAAAGTTAGTGGAACAAAAAAGGGAAATTCAAAGTAAAGAACTGAAATGAACTGCTGATGCTGTAAATCAGGAAAACAAGTTGCTGGAAGCACTCAACAGGTCTGATAGCACCTGTGGAGAGAAATCAGAGTTAATGTTTCAGATCACAGGATCCAAGGGTCATGTTTGTCACAACTCTAGGAATGGTGGAACTCAAACTTCTAGCACGGTTTGAGGGAAAGGGTCACCTGACCTGAAACACTCATTTCTCTCCACAGATTTTCAGCAATTTGTTTGTTGTTAAAAAAAGTGTCAAGTTGTATTTTGGCCCTCTCTTGCAATTGTGCTGTTAGAAGGCAGGTCCAGTAGAAGTCCAAAAACCACTTCTTTTGCACCTAATGTGCAACTAATATCTGGATAGGTTACAAGTGGTAAAATTGAGACATTGGAGCCACAGTAATACCAAAAAGTTACAAGTACAAGCACATAGGGAAAGATAGATCCTTAAATCGATTATAGAATCAACCCAAAATCACAAGTACCCAACAAGACAGTCCATCAGCTCAGGAGCTAAAGAGGACAATTAAAAAAAAAACCAATCAGCAAAACAAAACAAGGCTGTTTTTTGGGGGTGGGGAGGAAAGAAGAGACATTGTTGCAGCTATTCCTATGCTAACAGGGATACAAGTTAATTAGTTCAGTTGAACAAGGGATCACCTCAAGTTGATAGCAAGACCAGAAAAAAAACACAAGTGAAGAAAAATCTGGAGTTACATTAACAGATGAGAGTTTGGACTTCATATTGGCAGCATGGCAGTGTTGGTTGACAGTTAACCACTTCAAAGAGGTCCTTTTGTCCCAGTAACCCAACCTAAAAAGTCAGATCAGGTGACTGCAAACCCCCAGGCTGTCAATGGAATAAACTCTAATGTTGGGGGTTTACAAAACCAGGTGGAACAAACATTTGAGGCCATTAGCTTGTTTTCAGTTCCAGATTAAAAAGCAATTTTAGCTAAGGAAACCCAAAGATTGAACTTTAAGGATGGTCAAGACGACTAATGGGGTCAGAATGGAGTTCTGTGTTTGCCTCTCATAGGGAGAATAAGAATAGTTCCAGGCAAAAGAAAACAGCACCACAGTAGAAGAGAGCTCTAGAAGGTTCTAAACTAGGAATGTTAGGTTTAAAGAAAGCAGGAAAGTTAGACACATAGGCTGAGTGTATTCATGTCATTAGGTTCCATAGTTTAAAACGAGGACAATTAGAACTGAAATATTTGATAGAAGGCTATTATTTCTCCAGGTTGGAGTCCAGATAGCAGATAGCTGTGGGAAGCATATTTAAAAACTTGCTGTGTTTTAGGATCCAATTTCTATATTTAGGTAGCTTGAGCTTTGTTTTTATTTAACTTTTAAAGCAAAGATTTTGTTGTTAAAGGAAACTCTAGCCTCATGCAACAGTTTGTGATCAATCACAATGTTTCAAGACAGCTTTTATCTGGAAATTGGACTTTCCAAACAGTACCATCAGTTGATACAACATTAGCCCTTTCCAGTAACAGTCAGTAGGTAAAGTACCAATTCCTGCTTTCTCAGCCTTGTTCCCACTGAACCCCAGTGTATCCCACTGGTATAGTCATGCAGGCCAGATCATGCTCCCTATTGAACAAACTTGTCAAAAGGTGGCAAATCATGTCAAACCCAATTTGGGTGGGACTTGCTACTCATTCTAGCAATATTGTTTAAGCCAGTCAGCTTTTATAGAGGAGGCGATAGCTTAGTGGTTTTGCTGCTTGACTATTAATCCAGAAATTCAGCTATTGTTTGGGAACCTAGGTTCAAATCCTACCACAGCTGATGGTGGAATGTGAAATCAAATATTAAAAAGAAAAATGTGGAGTTCAAGAATTTACTGATGACCATGAAGCTATGGTCAGAAAAACCCACCTGGCTCACAAGTGCCTGTTTAGGGAAAGAAATCAACCATCCTCACCTGGTCTGGCCTATACATGTGGTTGATTCAACTGCCCTCTGAAGTGTTGAGGGACACAATTCACAGGCAGCTAGGAATGGGCAATAATTGCCAGCTAATCAGCAATGCTCATGTCACACGAGGGAATTAAAAAGCTCCACCCACCAACTAAGACAGTGAGCTGATGTGATTTCTGCTCAGATTCCAGGGATCCAGGAACAGGATTTCAAAAGAAAAAAAAGTTCTGTGTACATTACTTCTGAAACTCTTGTAATTATAGTCATGTACTCAATCACATGACTGGACTAATTCAAATCCAGGTCAGAGTGATTTTTAAAATCAGACTTTTAATAGTTTAGAGGCAGATAAACACAGTCAGCATTTACCGAGTAAAAGCAAGAAGGAAAAGATGCAAAACAAGTTTCCAACAGGGAGGGGTCAGGAATAGGATTGAGAGATTGGCCCCCAGTTGGGGTGCCTCATGGCTTCTCCCAGAGTTCAATACAACTACTTCATGGACAGAAGCATGAATCAAGCTTGCGATCTTCCTCCTCTGGTTTCACAAGATCAGATACTGCCTAAAGGGTATGGGGTTCATTCTCAACACCAGCAGGCAGAAACCCTTGTTTTTTTCCAATCCTCATTTTGATTAGGCACGTTGAAGCAGCTTTCCCCTTGTCCTTGTGTAGCTACAAGGAAAGTGCTTGAAGAATAACTGAAGATTTCTAACAGAATTTTTAATAGCTGCTGCTGTAATCAAACATCACAGTACCTTCTTTATAAGCTTTGACAATCTGCTGTATTTGTGCATTGTTGCGAGATGCTAAGATTTCAATCAAGACATCCTCAGATGTTCCAGCACCCTGTAAAACCACAGTCAAGTCTGAAAGGTTACACTCGAATAGGAATCCTAATACTTAAACTTTAGTAATTGGTGTTAGCAGTGCTTAAAAAAAATTGCACAATTTAGTGTTGTTTCAATCCAACAGTTAATAGTAACTCACCATAATATCCTACATGGAGAAGGGAACTAAGACAATTGGAAAATTATTGTCGCGTGTCTATTGACTCTTGATATTGTATTATTCCAGAAGAGGTATCTACCTCAAGTCATGAATGGAGTCAGTGTAGGGTCTTCCATCAGATGATTGGAACATATGTCAAGAATGACAGAATCCAAACTCTGCTAGAGTCTGACACGTCTCATTTACTATACTAACATAAACAGCCTTGCCCTTCAACTATTTAACCAAATGAGGCTTCTATATTGTCCCAACAACCACCCTCCCTCCCTCCACCCCCTGCTAAAACACAGACTTTTGTTAAAGAAAAAATCTGTGCCTCTTAGAGAAATGGTGTAGAGACTTTATCACTGTAGTGAAAGTGACCACTTTCACGGATTTTAAAAAAGGGAGGAGTGAAGAATCCTTGATGTTTTCAGTTTCCAGAGCACTAGTTCTCTCACCAAGAGGGCATTGTTATGCCACCTGCTGCACTGCAGCACTTCTGGTGAAGGGAAGTCTGATACAAACAAAACAGCTAATCCCCTGTCTGGGGGCTTGTGATTTAAATACATAGAATCCAAAAGGCATATAGCAAGTATAAAAATTTCATTCACTGACTGCAGTCAGTGAGCATGTTTGCCCAAACAGAAACATTACCTGCTGTTGCAAAACAAACTCTAGTTTCTCATGTTTACAGTATCTGAACATTCTTGGCACAGATGCCTCTATTTCACAGGACAGTTCTGTCAATTACCATCTTGTAATGTTTGCTAAGTTACTCAGGTGCCCATCAACAAGCTTGTCATTTTATACCATGCCCAAATAAGATAAATATTGGCACTAAAACAAAAACAAACTTAGACTTAACTCAAAAAAACCACCAGTGAAACAGCTGACAAGGCAGAAGACCCACCCTTTCCTGAAGAGGGCCTATTGAAGGATCACTATCCAGAGTGCAGGATATGAAGTTAGCATGCAGGAGAAAGCTGGGCAGGGAGACAAGAATTTGCAGCTAGGGGGTACAAACTTAAGTTGTAAAAGCCTGCAGTGTAATAGGGAAAAAAAGGAAGTGTTGAGGAAAGGCAAGGAGATTGAGGAGGAGCAATACAATGGGAGCAGAGAACACAAATGCAAGAACAGCCTGCAGAATGGCAGTTTTGGAAAAGTCTGACTGCAGAAACAAATGATCAAATATTTTCCTCCCAGATCAAATGGGATCAGTTACCTTCAGAGCATCATGCAATTCCTTGGCATCATAGTGATCTGGAGGAAGCAGGAGGGCAACTATCAAGGATTCAAACTTCCTCGACAGCTCACATTTCAGATCATCAATCAAGTTCTGTGGCAACAAACAATAGATTAACATGAATTCACAGCTGCAATGCTATTAGCAGCAAATAGGAGAAGGGGTCTAGAAACACACATTACATGCTGCAAAAACTACCCTAACTTTCTTTGAAAAGTTCTGGTTCATTTACAGTGGAATAATAAAATTAAAGATTCAAACAACCTAGAACTTCAACTATTCTGCTGGTGGAATAGTAAATCCAATGCCAGGATGAGAATAAGCTAGTCTGTTAGCTAGATAATGTTAACTGTATCCATGCTGGGCACCAGACCCTGACAGCCAAGAGAGTTAGGCCACACTGCAGAATGAGAAATCAGTCAACTTTGCAGAAGTGGTCTTACCCTCATCCTGAGGAAATACACACCATGGAGGCATTAATGTAGATGAGGCTGGACTGTTATCACCTTTCATCAAATTACTCCTTAATATCCAAAGGGAAACAGAATGGTGGAAAATTAAATGACAGATCACTGCTTTGGTCTACAGTGGCTGGTGCAGAGAAAGTTGTTGCTTGTGATACCAAAGCCCAGGAAGTCACTGGCTTTATGAAGGTCAAGTTATCTACAGATTTATCTGGATGAGCACCAGCATCATTTCAATCAGGAGGTTGGCAAAATAAATTGGTGGGCTATCACCTTAATAACTTGGGACATTCAAAACACTTCACAGAAGTGAAAACAGAGAGGACAGTGACTGGATCCTTGGACAGAGGGAGACATTGTTCAACAATCAGATCAGAAAGACTGACATCAAAACACTGGCGTTGCCAGGGTCTAGAGTTAAGGAATGAGAAACAAATTGCTGTGGAAATTCAGCAGGTCTGGCAGTATCTGGAGAGCGAGAGAGAGAGCAGTAACCCTTCTTCAGACCTGTTCTGGACCTGAACCAGAACCACTAACTCAGCAGGTCTGGCAGCATCTGTGGTGCGAAGCAGAGTTTCTCCAGTAATTTCAGTTTCAGATTTCCAGTATTTGCAGCTCTTGGGTTTATTTCCCCCTCCTAACCCCCACCCCACCGTTCAGGGAAAAAGGATGAAAAATATAATCATTAGAGATGGGAAGTGGTATCAGGAGGAATGTGATCAAAAGATGACATTTTATATAGTGAGGAATTAAGAGGACACAGTGTAGGTCATTGCATTTAGTAGAAATGCATGATTAGGACTTAAGTCCATGTGTAGAGTTTTGAATGAGCAACGATGGCTTGAAGATAGGAGGCAGCCCTGGAGGGTAGCAATCTCCAGGGTGAACATTGCTAACCCAAACTTTACAATTTAGTGATCACAAATAAGGCAAGTGCAATCCATTTGACTTCAGGGACACCACACAGTTTAGCACAATCCTGATGTTTGACAATACCCACAAAATGGGATGATGGGGTGGGTGAGGGGAGGGAGTGTGGAACCTGATGTCGGGATAGTCTAGGCAGATGACTCAACATGGAACAAGATTGAAAAGACAACAACTATCTGCTGCCCATGCAGAGGGTGGCAAATTCAATTTGTGGTTTCAGCAAACAGAAAAATCAGCACAGTTAGCCAAGACTTACTTTTCCAATTACAGTTTTGTAGGCACGAATGATCTGCTGCCTTTGAGCGTTACTTCGCTCAGCCAGTATATCAGATATGACACCTTCATCAGTTCCTGTAAAATAAAGTCAGTCTTCATTTGCAAGTGTAATACTACAAAATAAAATCCAGGCGATTAAGTGGACAGGCTCATTTTCAACATGGGATTTTGCAATCTGACCCTCAAAAAGGCAAGACAGAACCGCTCAAGAAGGGCAGAAGGCTGTTGGTGGTCAATCATTTCAGTTTGCATACTTTGCAGGAGTTTCTCAGGGTATTGTTCTAGACTCAGCCATCTAGAGTTGATTGAATGACCTGCTCCTACCATCAGTAGCGAGAATGGTCACTGGCTGTACAATGATGAACACCATTTGAGCTTCCTCAGACACTGCAATACCCTTTGTGCGCAAGACCTAGACAATGCCTAGCCTTGGGAGGAGTGGTAACAATGCCACACAGATGTTAGGATAATAACCACCTTCAATACAGTCAAATATCACAGCTTTGACATTCAAAGACATTTCCATCAGAAACACCAGTCAACATCTTAGGGATTTCTATTGACCAGGAACTGGACTAGCCATACTCAAGAACAGGTCAGAGGTTAGTAACAACTCATCCTCACTCCCCATAGCCCTGTCCACTAACTACAAAGGCAGGAGTGTACTAGAATCCTTCCGACTTGCCTGGCCTAGTGCAGCTCCAACGGCATCGCATCCCTCACCTTCAACATGGACTCCCTCCATCATTGCTGCTCAGTAGCTGCAGCGTACACCATTTACAAGGTGCACTGTTGAAATTCACTAAGGGTCTCTAGAAAGACCTTGACCAATACCATGTAAAAGGACAAGATCAGCAGATACATGGGAATACCACTACTTACAAGCCACTCACTTGTTCTGGAGGAATCCTAACAGGGAAGCTGCCATTCTTCCACTGGGTCAAAACCCTAGAATTGCTATTCTACAGCATTATCTCCCTGCACCATGGACCATTATAGTCCAAAAACATTATGGCGTGCCGTTGCTCCTTTTGCCCCTCAAGCCTGCTCCACTATTGTGCTCCAAATCTATTTTAACCCTATTTAGCTCTAAAAACAAAAAACCATATGCAACAAGAATCAACCTCAGTCTTGAAAAAATTCAATGGCTTGACGTCTACTGCCTTGAGTCAGTTTGGAAGGGAATCCTAAGTTTCTCATCTGCCTTAAAAGTTAGAGTTACCCTATTCAAACAGGGCTTTCTTGTTATGTACTTATCCAGGAAAGGAAATATCTTTATTCACATCCATTTTGGAGACTATTTGGGGTCTTATACACTTGAAGTCATGCCTCTGCTAAACTCCAGTAAAAGCAAACCTGGCCTATCAGAATCAGAATCCCTGCAGTGCAGGAGCAGGCCATTTGGCCCATCAAGTCCACAACCTGAAGGGCATCCCTCCCAGACCCACCTTATGTCATCTCTAACCTCACATGGATATCCAACTTATCCTCATAAGAATCCGTTCATTCCATGTCTCCAATGCATTTACACCTTTGCTTAAATGAAGTCAAACTAGCATGCAATTTGAAATGTAGTCTCAACTGCCCTCTAGAACTGAAGCTGACATTTTCAATTCCTTCCAAAAGTAGGAGCATCTGATTACCAACTTTTATTAGATGTTGCAGCTACACTAGTTTTGACTCCTGCATTGGAACAAATCCTCTCGCACCCTGGATTTCCACATTCATTCCAATTTAACACTTGGCTTTTCCCATTTAGATAGAAAGAATGCTGGAGAAACTCAGCCAGTCTGGCAGCATTTTGTCACCAGAATCAGAGTTTATAGAAACTGGTAGGGCTCTTCTGAACAGCCATAAAAGGGACTCAACTTAATCTCTCTACAGATACTGCCAGAGCTGTAGAGTTTCTCCAGCAGCATTTACACCAGATGTCCAACATCTGGAATATTTCCCCTTTGTTCCTGCCAAAAAAAGTGTACTAGACAGCTGACCGTTTTCTCTGGTGCAATAAATGCTGGCTTGGCCAGCAATGCCCACATTCCTCGCAAAATATCTCTAGTTTATTCAAGAAATTAAAGAAAATAGGAGAGTTACATTGGGAATACTGCTAACTGCAAACCATCTACAATGACATTACACAGTCAGAAGGCACAATAAATGAAGGTTTGGTGTCAATCATTTCAAAGAACCCTTCTGATCCAAATTACAAGAGTTACTTGCACTGGAACAAACTAGTGGCATTCTGGAAAAACAATTTACTCAATCTTTAGGGACTGAATCAGCCTCTTGGATTAGCAAGTCACAAATTGGAACACCTGTTTTTTTTCCTCTTCAAGTTAAATAAACAGAAAGGACAACAACTGGGGGAAGCGTGCTAAAGAACAGTGTGCCTGATGGGATGGAAACACCCCCTATGTGCATACACCAACTGACAATTTTGTCCATTCTCGAGCAGTGTTATTTAGCAGAAGATTCCATACTAGCAAGAGAAACAAGCAAGTGACTACAGCCAGGGAGGAGGAATGGAGAAAGAGAGTGTCCACGGTGGTGTGCATGACATGTTAGAGGTGCTCGAGTCTTCCATTACCCCACAACTCTAAAATCTAGCAAAATCAACAAGTTAGTTTGTATCATCATTACACATCGATTAAGGCACCGATTTAGTGCAATACTCAGTGCATTTTTGCCCTTGGAAAGAGAGGAGATAAGGATGGGGATATAACATAATGACAAAGATCAGATTCAAACAGACTTTGCCCTCAATTTAAACTAAGCGTTTGGAGATGCATTATTTATTTGTCAATTAGCTCTTGGCTCCTGTCCCATCAAAATCTAGCAGTGTAACTTCCATTAGTCACATAACATGGTGCTAAGCCACACATGGAAGAAAGATTGAGGTTTTAATCCATAATCTTAGGCAAGTTACCAAACCTACCCAAGGCAGCAGCAAGAGGTTACACCATTTAGTCATTTTGGGTTCAGGAAACAAAATAAAAATTCAGATTGCTTTTTAGCTCCCAGTCAGCATTCTCCCCCACACCCACCTACTCCGATAAACATCCTTAAAATCCGATGGCTTGTTCACATTCAGAACGTGGGTTTGTGCAAGTTTACGTACTCAAAAGAATTTCAGGAATGGCACCCAGGAAGGGTTAGTGCCCCAGGGAAGAGAAAAATCCACAGGTATATAAAAAAAAGGGACTGCTGACAAACTTTCAGAATTATGAAGAAGTCTGCATAGATTAAATGGACAAAAGGCTCCCCATTTGCAGGACTGCCCAAAAGCCATCAACCCAAACTAACTGAAGAAATGGTCACCCTAGTGAGAATGTGGGTGACCACAGACTTGGGTGTTTATACTGGGGAAAGCTAACCAACACAAGTATAGGAGGATATGCTTAGTGGTGGGGAAGAGAGAGATGAAGTTTTTAAAAAAAAAAAAGGGACACCACAGGAAACAGAGAAGTGCAGTGTCTTTACCAAATCCTTTCATCGCCTTGTGAAGCATCTCAGCATCTTGGTTGGCATCAAAATCCGGATAGTCGCAGACTGTGCCGCTGGTCCTTCCCTAGGAACACAGAAAATCATTTTAATGTCCCATTGGTCTTTGGGATTCTATACACATTTCACAAAGTGGATTAAACTGTGGGGGGGGGAGGAAGACTCCATCAGCACCTCACCGAGTGATCATGCTACCACAACAGCAGGCTCATTCAACACCTTCACTTGTCAAGGCATTAAAATCAGATTTCAAGAAGAAATTATGGCAGATGGAGCATCGGTTGTTTGGAGGATTAAAAACTGGTCAGTGATGTTAATGATGATTGCATGGACATTGAGAATTAGATCAGGGTTTGCTAATAGACCTGTTGCACTTCAGGACAGCATTTAAAAAAGTCAGGGGGACCAAATACACCCAAGAGCTACACAGTCTTCATTTATTTAAAAAGCCACTTTCTTAAAAAGAAAAAAAAAGTGTTCATGACACCAGGGACAGCATTTATTATATAATGGTGAACTACCTAGAATTGCTATGCCCATGAGCATAGCTGGAGTGCACCACACACTGAAGAATTGGTATAATCAATTACACCTCAGTGACCAGATAGATGGAGAGCACTCCCTGGGAGAAAAAAAAAAGATTGATATTAAGCCAGGAAGACAATCTAGATAGGTGGTAATAGGGGTTATGAGTAGTTGAAAGTGGTTTGGCTAGGGTGTGGGGAACAAGTAGTAGACATGGAAGGACAAGGTCATGCTGAAATTGTTAAGAATCCTGAAGGTTACAGGTCTAAGTGAAAGAGGAGGTGCTGTCTTTGCATTTGAAGTGGCAGGGAAGTGGAAGCCTTTTTACAAAGATAGGTGTTCTTAAAACAGGAAAAGTCCCCTTGATTCTTTCTTCCACTGTTCTGCACCACACCCCCCACCCAGTGCAGAGAGGTTAGGGATGGTGAGCAGCAAATGTAGTAACTAGACAGAGTTAAATGCTGGTTTATGAAAAAAAAAAATCACTGCTTCATCCAGGTGGTGTCTCAGGCTTTCATTCCACACTGGCTCTTCATAAATGCAACGCAATCAATTCCCAGCAGCTCCCTGTGCCAGCAAACCAAGCCTTTCCCTTGCGAAATATCATTTTAGGTACAGCCTGCAAGTACTATTGTGATAGTGATCATATCTCACTTCTGTGGGAGGGAACCAAAACAAGGTCCAGGTTCAAAGACCCAAATGTACCAGAAGTGCTACAACAAATCTGAACAGTTGAGAAAAATTTGGGACCAGCTTGTATTACATAGGTAGGGCATTCCAAATGCACACAAAGTTACTTAGTTTTATTTTAAAAAAGCCTTCCATCAACAGGTTAAGTTATAACACATCTTCATTTTAAGGGGCGGGGGGGTTGGGAAGACTATGCTACCACATGACATCATGCCTGCCATCCCCCACAAACATTGTACGTTTTCTGCACCCTCTAAAAAAGATCCTTCTAACACATCTGGAATTAGACTCCACCCCAGGCTAAGTAAAGGTTTGCTCCAACTTTGCTTTTGTTCTGGATCACCACATGCTCACACAGTGCAGATTGCCAGCATTTAACATTGAATATATCACTTCCTTAGGTGGCAGATGTTTACACAAATTTACTTGTGCAAGTTACAATTTTGCCCATGGACTGTGTGCAAAACATTTGCCACTAAAATTAACTCTTGCAGCCAAGAGATGTTATTAGCAAGTCTTTGCCAAGAGCGGACAATGGGAGTGCTGGCTAATGTGATTTAGTAGAATTAGATCCAAGGACCAATCAGGGAATTTCATTTAAAAATACTAGAGTGAACATTAGTTTCCCACCCGATTATCCCTGAAAATTACATGGAGAATGCTTTAAAGTTAGTACAGACCGAGCAGAGGTGGTAACAGTAAGTTCTTTGCACTGCTTTTACAACATTAGTGAGTTACTGCATGCAAGCACTGAGCAAACATATCTAAACGGTCTCACGGAGAGGATACAGGCTCATTAGGATTCTATTTCTCCTCGTTTTGGAGAGACAGGGTCACATTGAAAGCAGTGGGTGGGGTTCAGTGCAGAGGCTAGGATCTCCGGAACAAGCGGCACCCGATCAGAACTGTTCGTTAAGCTCTGACCTTGGAATGAAGGTTTCACACTCAAAAAAGCAATGAGAAATCCTAGCGTTTGACTAATAACAATTGTAATGTTGATCTGTCACATACAGGCAAGGGAAGTTGCAGGGTGGAGCTGGAGGAACACAGCACTCTGTCCTGAAAAAGCGTCCCAACCCGAAATGTCAACTTTCCTGCTCCTGTGATGCTGCCTGGCCTACTGCATTCCTCCAGCATCTGCAGTTCTATCTCAGAGGGAAGTTGCAGTCAGATCAGGAATCATGACTTTACAGACTCCATTGTGAGGCTATGTCACACCCATCCTCAGCAGCTACAACATCCCCCCCCCTGATTCACTGTCTTGTGATGCAGTAACAAGCAATGCCATGAATCACAAGACACCCATTCCAGCATTACAAATTTTACATAATCTGGGATGGTTCAGCACTAAAAGAAGAAGCAATTCTAGTTGTGTGCTTTTTCCTAATGTTTGCACTAACCTTATTTTGGCAGTAAGATTGGGTAATTTTCTTTACTTCCAACCAAAGTCTTAACAGTTATAATTCCCTTTTCCACCCCCACCTTCCCTACACACCATCTCCCCTCACCACCCAAGCAAAGCACTTTTGGGTGTTGAGTTTACAAAACACACTAATTTAGTTTCCTTCCCATTATTACTAAGGTTGTTTGAATATCCAATACAGAATGAGCAAACTGACTGAATTAAAGAACGTTAAGACAGACTTAGTCAAAGTCACCAACTCCATCACCTCAGAACAGTCAGATACCAAAAGTCAACTACTTACCACATTGTGTTGTTGGTTATGATCAGCAAGTACATCCAATCTGCTCAGCAGAACTCATCCATGTCAACCAGGTTTTCCCAAACTAGTCCCATTTGCCAGCATTTGGCCTATAACCTTTCCTATTCATACACACCCAGATTTTTTTAGGAATTGTAACTTTAACCACCTCCACTTCCTCTAGCAGCTCATTCCATACACACCACCACTGCATGGAAAAAGTTGCCCCTTATGTCCCTTTTAAATCTCTCCCTTAGACCTATGCCCTCTAGTTTTGGTCCCCTATTCTTGGGGAAACTTTTTTTTGGCTAGTCACCTTATCAATGCCCCTCATTTTTATAACCCTCAAAAGGTCACCCATCAGATGGAAACTCCAGGGGAAAAAAACACCAGATTGTTGCATCTCTAACATCACCCAACTGAGTCACTGCCTCCAACACTAAGTGGCAGCCCCACACAGGTCTACATCACATTGACCCAACAAATTTCTCCATGGCTCAGGTTTCCTGCTCCTCCCCATAACCACCTTCTTCCCACTTGGCTCATCATCTAACGTTCCTTTCATCAGGACTACGCAATGCAGTGTGACTGGATTGCTCCAGAGAAATTAGATTCTGCTGAACAGGCACCTGCTGCCATAAGAATTCTCTTAACACAAAAGACAGTTGTGTGGCAAATTGCACTGCCAATCTCAACTCAAATGAAACAATGCCTGCCTACAAGACCGAGACCATAACATCAGCTAATGACATTATCAAATTCCTCACCCATCAACATGGCAGGCACATTATGGATTAAAACCAATGCACTGTGATGCCTTAACCCACAGCAGGGGGTTCCTTGCCCTCCATACAAATCCCACTAGCGCCATCTTCTTCACAGCACTAACCCTAGCACATTTGTGACAGCTACAGTTGCCCAGACAACACTGAAGCAGTTTACAAGCAGCTCAGTTGTATAAACAGAGATAATGATTGGGTATTATTTGGTAGCATTGTTGGAGAGCAGGCTTGGTCACAATACAGAGCAATGAGGCTTGCAGAGAGCTTGGAGTATCTATTAAACTACAGCAGAAACTTGTGGCAAGGATAATTACAATAAGGCCATTGCAGACCTATTAGAACACTCCAGGGAAAAGCAACTTCAATCCAGACCTTTTGATCCAAAAGGTCAGGTCATTAATACTACACAACAATATCCCTTGTTAAAGTAGGGAGTACTTTTAAAGTTAGGCTGAAGTTGGTTGTACTATTATGAACGCAAGTTAGTGGCATTTCAGTCATTTGGCTGGATTTCATTTCAGTAGCAACTTATCAAGATATGCTATGACATAGCTAGGATGTTATGACTTGAACCTGGACTTTCAGGCCCAGTGGTAGACACTACCACTGTACCACAAAAGCCCTTCCAGTGAGTTGTTTAGATATTTCCTGAATCAACCCACTCAAAGATGTTATAACACACCTCTGGCAGGTGTTACTTAAAACCTAGGCTTCATGGCTCAGAGATTGGTACAGTAGTAGTGTCCCTCATAAGCCCCAGCTCAATTTGTTGGTTACCTAATTGAACAACAGTAGCCACAGCTAGTTATTGACTAGTTCAAACCAATCCCCTGGAGGCTTGGCCGCCATTTTCTTATTCCACAATAGAATACATTTAACGTTTGAGTCTCTCATTGAGCCAACTCAACTTGTTTAATAAGCTCATTTGCACAGCTCTGAAAGCTGTGCAATCAGTCATAACTTAATAACAGTCCAATCCCATCCATTTATGAAGTTTAGCTGTTCAAGTTGTAGAGTTACAGCTATTCCACATTCTCAGTTTGATGGCAGTCACCTGGAATGCAAGGGATGACTATTCAGTGGCTTGATCCATCAAAAGACCCAAGAAAACTGGCCTAGAGTTGTAGCTCTCTAGGCTAAGAGAAACAGTAGTTGTAGAAACTAGCTTCTGCATTTAAGCCCATAATTGGCAGTATATAATCAGGTGCATTTGAGGTAGGCACCTTGCCTATTTGCAATGAGTACAACACCCAGTCTCGCAGATATGGGTGGCTTTCCCTTGTCGAAGGGTAACATGATATTAATTAACAGTATCTCAACAGGGAAGATAATGTTTACTTTTAACATAACCAGCTGGTAACATTTCAGTAGAAACCTGCATTGTACACACATTTACTCAGTAAATAGCCAGTGGTCAAAAAAAATTGGAAACAAAAAGATTCACTTTAATTAAGTATTAACAGTAGATTAATATGTTGTGAAGAAATCACAGCAGTGCTGGAAGTGTTGTATAGTATTCTCTAACCTCCTACACACTTCCCCGCCCAGAAGAGGAAAAAAGTCACTATTCCTATTTGCAGTAAGTGAACCACTGCAGACTGAGATAACAAGGTGTAAAGCTGGATGAACACAGCAGGCCGAGCAGGAAGGCTGACGTTTCGGGCCTAGACCCAATTTTGAAGAAGGGTCTACACCTGGTTATCTCAGATTCTCCAGCATCTGCAGTTCTTACTATCTCTGAACTACTGCAGACTGCACAGATTTCACTGAAGCTGCCCTATTGACAGATGTATTACAGGCTCCACTTACCACGCCTTGGGCTGCCATGGTTCAGTCGAAAAATTTCTGTTTTCAAAATAAAAAGACAGAAATAACTTAATCTAGCTGTTTGAGTCTTCTTAAAGGACCTCAATATACTTTGGCAAACTAAATATTAAATCATTTCAAAGTACTGACAAACCTGCTTCAGAAAGACTGTTAAAAAAAATTCAGCCTGTACCGCTCATAAAAAACACAACAGCAATGGCCTGCCTTTTCTCTAGAAAAACCTGTGAACGCTACTTATGGATTGGTTGAGAGCTTGAAACTTATTTAAATAAATTAGTCACAGAGGGAAGGTATCCTATGAGAAGCTACTAACGCCAAACTATTGCGGATGCACATAAAACCAGAACCGAACTCCACTTGTTATTGCCAAATAAATCCAGTTGCTCAGCCAAGAGCTTCCCTGGGAATAGCTCTCACTGGCACAGGGCCTAAAAATGACATCCGCCAATTCTGAAATGTGTACAGCCTTCTAAGTTGCAGGGCAGAGTAAGAACTGACAGCAAAAATAGGAAATGTAGGAGCAAAATTACTGCAGATGTTAGAATCTGTACTGAAAACAAAAAAATGCTGGTGATCTCAGTGGGTCAGGCAGCATCCCTGGAGAGAAAGTAAACTAACGTTTCAAGTAATGAAGTGTCATCTAGATTCGAAATGTTAGCTTGCTCTCTCTCCAGAAATAGGAAATGCTTCTTCTCAATATTAAAAATTGTAATTAAAGTGACCATATTCCTGGAGGATCATAGGGCTGCTCTCTCATTAGAGAGAGAGAGATGGCTGGTTTAACCTGATGGTCACCACGCCTCAGGTGAGGGGTGAGGTTGGGAAATTGGGACCTTCACGGTGCCCAGCCAACTGAGCAAACAGGCGCAGAGTGATGCCAATAGTGTGGATCCAATTCAAATTGAAGTTACCATGAAGGACTCTCCTTCCCAATCTTACCTGTGGTGTGGTCACCCTCAGGTTAAACTCAGCACCAATTGTTTCTTTCTAATGAGAAAGCAGCCCGATGGAGCACTCAATACTGTACATCCCACAATATGTCTAGGGTAATTTTCCCCTCACCCTCTGGTACAAACTTTTGTTCCTGCCTAAAATCACTTCCTGAATTTTAACAGTTTTATTTATACACCCTATGACTTTTACTCCTTCGAATGCATTTTCTTCACAAATTGGCTGAATATTTACAGTGTGGAAACAAGCCATTCAGTTCAGTTGAACCAGGCCTGTTTTTTCTGCATTGCAACCTGTTTCCCCTCATCCTTCTTCACCTCGTCCCATTAACATGTCTGTCCATTCGTGAGCTTCATGTGTTTGGCTGGTTTTCTATTAACCATGCTGTTCATGTCAACTATTCCTCATGGTACAGAGTTCCACTTTCTCATCGCTCCCTGAGAAAGGATGTTTCTCCTGAATTCCCTTTCAGATTTATTCGCAACCATCTTACAAACCTCTTTCAACTTGCCATACATTTACCCTATCAACTACTTCTCTAATTTTGAAAGATCTCTACCAATATATCCCTCAGCCTTCTCTTTTCCAAATTAGGTATCTTAGTCTTTTCTGTTTTTTCTTGCTGGTTATTTGGTTTAAATACATAATATAAAGACTGTGTCCTTTTATTTTTCTGTATTTTTACTGCGGACTGACATGGGAAAAGAACTCGCTTAAAATCAAAGATTGCTAATGGAATATTGCAGTTTTTGAAAGCAAGTAACCTCATACCCATTGCAAGCACTGTTTACACAGCTGCTGGCTCAGGCTGTAGTTAGTTTTCCAACGAGCCATAGCCAAGGGTGGTGTACAAATGGAGATTCAACTGACAACAAGTTGCTGATTGGTCTGTAGGCTAGTAACCAGTCATCGATGACAAACACCTTCTGCCTGCGAACAACGATATGATTGGTTCCCACGCAGCTTGAGACCAGTGAACAAGATGCGGAGAAACTATCAGGAGTTGTCTCCATTCTCCAGAGGGAAAAAAAAAACACTTACGTCCTGAGGAAAACTAGTTTCTTTTTTCTTCAAAAGTTTCTGGAGGCTGTTACTTTTATAATTGTGAACCAGTCAGCCTACAAACCAGTGAAAGTATGCAGAGAAGGAAGATCAGGAATCAGCATTCTGATCAGCAAACCCTACGGAAAGGGACCTCATAACTTATTTCCCAGTTTTTCCTTCCACCCTTAAGACCCTTTTTTTTTCCTTGTTCAGTTTTAAACAAGGCGTAGATTCAGATGTTAATGGGAAACGGTGAATGGACAATGCAAAAGAGAGAGTTGCATGTTGCTGTTTGGCATTGTGTTCTGTCAATATCAGAGGGGGTGCACATGTATGTAGCTCATGTGGCAAACGATTCATATGCGCTTAAGGCGCATGGCACTGCGCGTCCACGAAGACCAAAATAGCCTGGGCCTTGCTGGTCACTCAGTTGGAGTCCTCTTGCAAACTCAGGCATAGGTAGCCTGTTGTCAGTTGAGCTGTCCTCCCAAAGTCTATCTGGGAATGGACTGCGATCAGTCAAGGAAATGAGTCATAGATAATCCAGGAGGTTTTTAGGGCAACTCTATGACTCATTCTGGGAATTGGTATTTGGTGGCTGAGAGATTGGTCCCAGTTGCAGGAGGTAGTTGTCAATAGTAGGCTGGGATCTGGTGGGATACTGGAGGTTTCCAAGGGCTGGGTCAAGGCAAGTTATGATCACTCCTGCCTCAATATGGGGAGAGTGCAGAGCTTCAAAGTTGTTGGAACTGCAACAATCGAAGGCTCCTGTGGTGTAAAATGATGACAATAATGATCACGTAAAGGGGCTTAACAGAAATGACATTGAAACTGAAAAGTCAATAGGGGAACAGGGAATGCTACACAGGAGAGGACACCAAGGTGGGGAGGCGTGGTATTTTGTGGGTCACAGGTGGAGTCTGCAAATCACTGCAGTGAATGCAAAGTTTAAATCTCACTAAATTGATCCAAAAAGCACCCAGGTAGTCAGGTTCTGGTGTTGAAAAAGCAGCAGCCAAAGTGGGAGGAGTAAACAATCACCTTTTGAAAGAGGGTGAAGACCAGAGCTGGGAGATGATGCCTCCTAAAGAGTTACTCCAGTAATTGTGAATCCAGGCAGTAGACACTGTTATACATCCGTCTTCAATCTGCAGTTAAAAGGATCATTTAAGCTGGTTAAAGCAGCTTTCCTGTAAACAAGAAATAATTCAGAGTTTGAAACTCAACGTTGTCTTTACAGGGTCTTGTAGCATCATGGTGGCCTCCCTGTCTCTTTGCGCAAAGGTCTGGGATCAAATCCCAGCTGCCCTGAAGGTGGGCCATATCACGTCTGAAGGGGGTGATGAGAAATGGTATTTTCCTTATGCCATCTAATTCTCATTTGATCTCATGAAGTGAGAGGATATCAAGGCTTTGACAGGCATCGTGCGATCTCTGAGGTCAGCAAGTGTCAATGAACTAAGCACGTTCACTCCACATCTCTGCTTCCCTATTGAGTTAGAGAGTCATACGGCATGAAAACAGACCCTTCAGTCCATCCAGCCCATGCCGACCATAATCCCAAACTAAATGAATCCCCACCTGCCTGGACTTGGCCCATATCCCTCCAAATCTTTCCTATTCATGTACTTATCCGAATGTCTTTTAAACAGTGTAACTGTATACACCACTCCCTCTGGAAGTTCATTCTACACATGAACCACTCTCTGTGTAAAAAAAAATTCCCCTCACGTCTTTTGCAAAACTTGGCCAAGTCACACAGTCTCCAGAAGCCATCACTTTGTGGCTGCCATATCCTCACACACAAGGTTCACAGCATCCGTGATAGACTAGGGCGGGGGACTCCTAGCACGTGCTTAAGTCCAAGGCACTTTCTTTAGGCCACCTTACATGAGGTCAACATGGCCAAAGTGCAGGGGAAGGGGTGTTGTCAATTGTGAAGGTAATTCTGCAGTATCACATGCCGACAAGCTCCTGCTGTGGGGTTGGTGACAACGAGTTGCCTCCTCAATATAAACAGCAATGCATAAATGGAGTCACCCTGTGTGAGGCATTGGCCAGGTACAACGCTACCCTCTATGAGGGCATTACCTGGAGTTTAACAGCGAAGGATTTCGGGAATGAAACTGTCCTAAGACTGTGTACTTTCTCTTACTGCCTCAGATCTGCTGAAATTTCAGGCAACATGGCAAAGGTTAATCCAGCAGTTTGTCTTGTGGTCCTCCTGCTGCCAAGGAACAGTCACCAAAGAAGAAGTCCTGAAGATGGTGACCCAATGCCTGGTCTGGTCAGGTGGTACCGTGCAGTATAGCCCGGACAAGATGATGCGCCAGGCCAGCTACAATCTCAGTCACTAAAGAATGGATGTGTTGTCTGAGGAGAAAATATAGGAGTTAGATAAATCCTCCCAGCAGGAAGATGAGGGTGAGGACCTTAGGTGGACCAGACACGCTATCAACAAGATGGGGTAAGGACACAGATCCACTGAGAGCAAGACGCCAGAGGGAATCTTATAACCACCAGCTTCCAGGATAACTGAGCTGTGTTGAAATCTTTTCTCTTCTGATTCTTATTTCATTTGTGCAGTTAGGTGCCACCCTCTGCTTGGTCTATGCTGCATTCTTTAAGGATTGATTTTATTGATCCTTGTGATAAATTGTTGATTTTTCCTTTTTGCTGTGGCTCTGATGTCCTCACTTCTATGCAGATCTTACCCTGGACCAACAACTGTGTACAACAAGCACTTTCATTCCTGGATGGCCATTGCCAGAATAGTCCTTGTGCAAAATTCATACTAGTGACATCCGAGAGTTCCATTCCTGGTGAATACTCCCAAGTTGTCCCACATCCTGAGAGTCCTTCCTTTGTGTCTTACCTCCTCACTATCCCTGCAGTGATTCATAATGAAATAGGCCTTCACTGTGCCCTTACAATACCTGAGTATCCTCACTGAAGATATTTGGATTCTTCCAAGCTGGTGGATGAATATGATCCAAAGCTTTCACTTTGGAGAATCTTCTCTGGGGGCACTAAGACAATGCAAATATTAGGCAAGGGCAAGTGAAGTTAGATGTATAAAATTCTGTCACATGACTGGGGACCCATGCTACTACTATGCCCTCAGAAGGTTTTCATAGAATCCCTACAGCGTGGAAACAGACCCTTCAGCCCAACAAGTCCACACCGACCCTCAGAGCATCCCACCCAGACCCATCCCCCTACAACCCACCTAATCTACACATCCCTGAACACTATGCGCAATTTATCATGGCCAATCTACCTAACCTG